TGTTCTTCTTATCAGGGTCATAGGTATAAATCTTTTGACCAATACAGTTGTACAATCTGACTGTTAATTTAAATTCTTCAAACACCAGTTCCATATCTTCAACTGATGCCCCATTCTCTTTAAACTCTTCTTCATTTAAATTCATTAGTTTCAAAATCTTATCTCTGGTCATTCTTTTGCTCTCCCACTTTTTAGTATTCATCAGTGTCTCTTCATAGTGGTCTATCAGTGTGTTAATCCAGCATTCCCCATCAGTATGTTTCTTTGATGGCATTAATCAAATTATCACTACCAACATCCATTTCAGTATTGATGGTGTAATGATACATTCCTATCTCATTTCCATTTTTCAGTTTCTTTTTTGTTTCATCATCTCCTCCACCTGTGTTTGATACATCACTAATGTCTAAAATCTTGATGGCACTTGTGTAGTCTTCAAGATTGGTATTGTTCTTCAGGTCTGGGTGTTTTACAACTAGTCTCTTGAACAACTTATCAAACAAGGCTGTGTCGTGTATCACTTCAAACTCTTTGTATCTACCTTTGGTGTCTCTTCTTTTGGGCAGTGTAGCATCTATTCCTGTCTCCCTTATCCAAGCCTCCCTTGTGTTCAGTTCATCAAATTGTTTTCTTGTAATTTTGTTTGGGTTGTCCTTCTTCAGTCTTAACCTATCTTTCAGTCTTTCCATCCATAAATGAAACTTATCTCTGACCACATACTTATCCACCAGTGTTTCATTCAGTTTATCCTCATCTCTTACATTCTTCAAGTTCATCTGTATAGGTTGCTCCATACGAAGTAGATTGTGCCAGTCTCCTTGGTTGTCTTTAAATCCTCTCTGTCCTCCTGCTTTATGCCCATTATCAAAACCGTAAAGTTGAAATCTTACAACATAGTCCTTCTTGTTTCTGTTAGTTGCCATTCTCTCATTCAGTGGTGCTCTGCCTTCAATCTGTTCAAACTTTTTATCAATTTTTTTTTAAACAAAAGTTGCGGTTCTCTTGTTGTCGCTCATCAGGCTGTTGATTATTTTTTTTGCTGTTTCATATTGAGAAATCTTCCTGTCTCTATAAAAATTCTACTACCTTATCCACTCTGCCTTTAACATCTTCTTTAGCACCTCTGGTTAGTTTTTGTAGTATGCTTATATTATTGATTACACTTTTTGATGGCATTATAATATATTTATATTATATTATAATAACATCTCTTTAAGTAGTTTAAGACATTTTATGGTTTTACCTTATTTCTTCTGATGTATCTTCAGTGTCTCCATTATTATAACTTGCTCTCAATCTGATACACTTGCTAGATTGCTGGTGTCTCTTGAATTTTTCTTTTGTAATGCTACACCCACAAATGTATTAACATATATCATCTAATTATATAGGATGAATGACTGCGATATGTATTTAGATACAGTTAATGTCATAGAAGGTAGGATTGAAGATGATACTAGATTTCCAATTGTAAGAGATACTAAACTTAAACAGATATTCAGGGTATTACTGGAGTTTCTGAAGGTATTTATAAATTATCTTAAGTATTATATAGATGCCACCCAAAAAAGCAAAGCCAAAGATGAGTAGTAAAATAAAGAAACAACAACTTTCACAAAGTGAAAGTTCTGGAGGGCAACGCCCTTTACCTATACCTGAAGATTATGAACTGTCAGATGAAGAACCCACTACAATAAATCTGAATGAGGAACAAAAACTATCAAGCAAATTTATTACCTTTGATTGCCCACTGTGTCAGGGGAAACTACAATTGAGAAATGAAATTGAAATCAACCCCAAGGGAGTGAAATGTAAATGTAATCCGTGCTCATTCAAAATCAGCAAAAATGATAAAACAATGAATGTAAGCAGGGATGACAACGGGGAGATAGTTTTAGAGAGTGAAGACCGTAGCATCAGTTTCAGTTTTAACCGCCAGATTACGCCAGAGGACAAAAATAAGGAAAGCACTAACAATATGATACGGGATGTAATGACTACTACCCCCACAAGTAAAGGACAACTGGCAATCAATGATATGGATTAAAACTATTTAAAGAGTGATTTTAACACACGTTCAACTGATAAATCAATAACTATCTAAATAATTATATATAGAAATGTCTGATTTAGATGATAAACAACCTGAGATGGCAGAGATGCTGAACAAGATGACTAAGTATAACAAGAATGTGAAGGTATTGATGGACTTAATGAACAAGGCATTAGAAAAATTTGATATATTAGTGAAAAATAAACCTGCTGAAAATAATGATGCTGATGCTGAAAAAGAAAGGATTGATAAAATATTTGAGAAAAAACAGGTGGGTCGCCCAAGAGGCAGTTTTGAAGAGAAACAATCTCAATATCTGAAAATGCTAAATGAAGGTCGCGTGAAGCAACCTAAAAGTCAAACTCTTGAGTTTTACAAGATTGAAAGGGATGGTGAAGTGTATAAATTAATGGATTGATAAAATGCGTGTCTTTCAACAATAATTTCATATATAAATTATATGAAATTACTTGAGATGTTTAGCGGGACAGGCAGTGTGGGAACTGTCGCAAAAGATGTGGGCTGGGATGTTGTGTCATTAGATTTGAAAGGGGCTGATATCAATTGCGACATACTACTCCAGTGAAATACTTTGACTTTGTCTTTTCTTCACCCCCAGCTTTTAAATACAATAGGGTAAATACCAATGATGTCAGAAAAATAGATGAAACCAATAAGATTGTGTTAAACATACTTGAGGTAATCAATTACTTCAAACCACAGGTTTTTGTGATACAAAATCCTCAATCAAGTTTATTGAAAGAACAAGAGTTTATGAAAAAACTTCCCTATTATGATTTAGACTTTTGTAAATATGGATTTGAATACAGGAGACGCACTAGGCTTTGGACAAACTTGGAAGGGTGGCAACCCAGAGCATTGTGTAAAAGGGACTGTGGCAATGTAATAGAAAACAAACATATTGAAAAAGGGCAAAGGCTGCCATCAAATGAAATTCCTGAAGCATTGGTTCAAGAAATGTTCAGTGCTATAAATGTTGTGTGTTTTAGTTAGGGGTGTTCAGTGCTTGAAAATTGGTGTTTTCAGTGCTTGAAAACGGGTGTTTTCAGTGCTTGAAAACGGGTGTTTTCAGTGCTTGAAAATAGGTGTTTTCAGTGCTTGAAAATGGGTGTTTTCATTGCCTGAAAACTGGTGTTTTCGGTGCCTGAAAATTGTTTTTTGGCGTTTTCAGTGTCTGAAAATGCCGTTTTCAGGGTCTGAAAGTGTTTTTTGCCGTTTTCAGTGTCTGAAAATGGTTGTTTTCAAGGTCTGAAAATGGGTGTTTTCAAGGTCTGAAAATGGATTTGTGCGGGGTGTGTCTCAATACTACCTAGGCTGGATATTCCCATTATCTGGGCTGGATAATTCCATTATCTGGGCTGGATATTCCCATTATCTGGGCTGGATAATTCCATTATCTGGGCTGGATATTCCCATTATCTGGGCTGGATAATTCCATTATCTGGGCTAGTTTTTCTCAAAATCTAGGCTGGATAATCTGGATGGCTACAGCCTATACATTGGGATGTATAAGGTCTATACATTTAGATGTATAAAATCTATACATTGGGATGTCTAGGGGCTGGACAATGGGTATTGAGCCTATGGACGTATTCAGCATTTGAATACAGAATAAGGGTGTATTCGGATACTGAATACGGGGGGTTGTTATTATCTGGGTGGAGCACCCCTCCTTGCCTAAATTTTAGGCAATCCCTTTGCCTCGAATTTAGGCAACCCACTTGTCTAAAATTTAGGCAGTCCCTTTGCCTAAATCTTGGACTGGTAAGATGGAGAAATCCTGTTTATGGCATTGATTTTTCAATTATGTTTATGTATTGGCTTTACCGTTGCCGAGGTCTGGCTTTATAGATAAATTATTTCATAATTTATCTTAAAGTCCATCTCATAGGTTTTAGCATTACAACAGGCTTTTGAATGAGGGTAAGTGTATGGTTTGTTGTTAAGGTTTTTGGTATAGTATTCTTTATGGTCTATTGTATTGTTTAGGTTGTTTGAGTTTTTTGTTTTGTTGTTTTGTTGTTATGATTTATGTTATTGTTTTCTGTAAGGTGTTGCTCCCCTGTCTTTGGTATTAACCCCATAGAATTTGCTTGTATAGTAATGTGGGCGGTTTGGGAAAAAGACGGGGGAGCACTGGGCTAACTTTTATAAGTTGGTTTATAACACCCATTGACTATTTTAATATCGACCATAAACCATAGAATTCAGCCACTTATATGTTAAATGCTATCGAACGGGGGCTCCATCCTGTACTTATTGTTCAGGGCCTCCCTTTCTGCATCCAGATTTTCCAAGCACAAGCTGCAGGCTGCATTTCACCTCAGCTGGATGTGTTTCATGACACTGGGTCCACATGCTTTCTATTCGGAATCGCTGGTGATGGAGGATAGATATACATAAGTATATATATATATATACTTAGTTAGAATTGTAATATTATATACCTTTACATACTCTAATAGAATTAGAAAATTTGAACTGAGACTGGCACAGGCAAATTCTGTTTTTGAGTGGTGCAATATCAGGCACAACCCTTTACCAACATCAAGAGCATGTGGGCCTGAATCAGAATGTCTGTCTTTTTCTGTTTTCCCACTCTACCCCAATCATCTCTATCAAACTGTCTGAAAATCGGTTACCTCTGTTCCATCCGCTGGTTCATCATTTTCACCGTCAAACTGGCAATCTTGGGGAATCCCCCATTTTCAGACATAGCCAAATATCATATGGGTTATGTATCCCATTATATCCCCATGATATTCCCACTACATTCAATGAAAAATCACCATTCTTGGTGGTTAAGCGGAAATGATGATGGGCTATCCCCCATCAAGCATTTTTGTTGGTCAACCCCTCACTTTGGGTGACGCAATCCATTTTCCAAGGCTGGCCTACTATCGCGGCTTGTGGTCGTGCAAGCGGCTCACATCATGCCCTCCTCCAAGTCGTGGTGGGAGTGGGATATGTGGATCTCATGACCATGTCAATGGGGAGCCAATGACCATTCTCATCAGGATTATTATCAGTATGCTCAGTATGATCACTGGAATGAACAAGACATGGGTATAACAAATGGGTAAAGTAGATTGATACATCTAACTATATACCTACAGTCAAAGGATGCCAAAGGGAGTTCAGTAGACAAATTCCCACAAAAATCGGCCTTGTAATCATCCCCAACAGACCAGGTAGGTTTATCACCGACTATGATAACCAACAATCATATATCAATATCTCACCATTTTTAGGTGGTAAGAAATTAACAAATCACAATTGATTGTTTCTATCAGATATATCGCCATATAATCAGCAATCAACCAGGCTCCCCCCAAAAAAGACCATCAACCCTAAGTCATCAAGTATATCATACGAAATTTATCCATATTTCTATTTTTGCTGGTCTGTTTCACATCTCTATTCATGATACCCGGTCCTGGATCCAGCCACCTGGGCAAAACATCACCCAGTCGGATTCAAGAACTTGTTGGAAAAAGCCAGGATGCTTGGGAACCCCATGGGATGACCATACACTCAAAAACATGGCTTTTGACCATCACACACACATGTAATATGGAAATAGAACTACTAAACCAAAGTATTGACTAAGTACCAATGATTGTGAGTTTATATAATTCCCGAGAGCGTCTGAGCGCAGGGTTCTTCCAATAGTGGGGGTCTGTAAAACATCTTCTCATCTTCACATCTCATCTTCACATCCTCTCATCTTCACATCTCATCTTCACATCCTCTCATCTTCACATCTTTTCATCTTTACATCCTCTCATCTTCACATCCTCTCATCTTCACATCTTTTCATCTTTACATCCTCTGCATCTTCACATCCTCTCATCTTCACATCTGCTCATCTTCACATCCTCTCATCTTCACACCTTCCCATCTTCACATCTGCTCATCTTCACACCTTCCCATCTTCACATCTGCTCATCTTCACACCTTCCCATCTTCACACCTTCTCATCTTCACATCTGCTCATCTTCACACCTTCTCATCTTCACATCTGCTCATCTTCACATCTGCTCATCTTCACACCTTCCCATCTTCACATCTTCTCATCTTCACATCTGCTCATCTTCACATCTTCTCATTTTCACATCTGCTCATCTTCACATCTGCTCATCTTCACATTGCTCATCTTCACACCTTCCCATCTTCACATCTTCTCATCTTCACATCTGCTCATCTTCACATCTTCTCATTTTCACATCTGCTCATCTTCACATCTGCTCATCTTCACATCTGCTCATCTTCACATCTGCTCATCTTCACACCTTCCCATCTTCACATCTTCTCATCTTCACATCTGCTCATCTTCACACCTGCTCACCTTCTCTCTCACGCCTTCTTTTTATCTTTCTCTCTTAAGGCCGAGGGTGGTGCCGGCGGCGAGTCACGAAACGTCAACCCTTTCGCACGAAATGAGGGTCGATCGGCAAAAACTGAGGTAAAATTGCGATTTGACTTGCCCCGGAGCAACCCTTTCGCACGAAATCAGGGTCGATCGGCAAAAACTGAGGTAAAATTGCGATTTGACTTGCCCCGGAGCAACCCTTTCGCACGAAATGAGGGTCGATCGGCAAAAACTGAGGTAAAATTGCGATTTGACGTGCCCCGGAGCAACCCTTTCGCACGAAATGAGGGTCGATCGGCAAAAACTGAGGTAAAATTGCGATTTGACTTGTCCTGGAGCAACCCTTTCGCACGAAATGAAGGTCGATCGGCAAAAACTGCATGAGGTAAAATTGCGATTTGACTTGCCCCGGAGCAACCCTTTCGCACGAAATGAGGGTCGATCGGCAAAAACTGAGGTAAAATTGCGATTTGACTTGCCCCGGAGCAACCCTTTCGCACGAAATGAAGGTCGATTGGCAAAAACTGAGGTAAAATTGCGATTTGACTTGCCCCGGAGCAACCCTTTCGCACGAAATGAGGGTCGATCGGCAAAAACTGAGGTAAACTTGCGATTTTACTTGTGCCGGAGCAACCCTTTCGCACGAAATGAGGGTCGATCGGTAGAAACTGAGGTAAAATTGCGATTTTTCCTGTGCCGGAGCAACCCTTTCGTCTCTGTGTAAAAGCGTCTGTGTGTAAAAGCGTCTGTGTGTAAAAGCTTCTGTGTGTAAAAGCGTCTCTGTGTGTAAAAGTCTCTGTGTGTAAAAGCGTCTGTGTGTAAAAGCGTCTGTGTGTAAAAGTGTTTGTGTGTAAAAGTGATTGTGTAAAAGCGTTTGTGTGTAAAAGCCTCTGTGTGTAAATGTGTTTGTGTGTCAAAGCGTCTGTGTGTCAAAGCGTCTGTGTGTAAAAAGCGTCTGTGTGTAAAAGCGTCTGTGTGTAAATGTGTTTGTGTGTCAAAGCGTCTGTGTGTAAAAAGTGTCTGTGTGTAAAAAGCGTCTGTGTGTAAAAGTGTCTGTGTGTAAAGGCGTCTGTGTGTAAAAGGGTCTGTGTGTAAAAGCGTCTGTGTGTAAAAGCGTCTGTGTGTCAAAAGCGTTTGTGTAAAAGCGTCTGTGTGTAAAAGCTTCTGTATGTAAAAGCTTCTGTATGTAAAAGCTTCTGTCTGTAAAAGCTTCTGTGTGTAAAAGCTTCTGTGGGTAAAAGCTTTGTGTGTAAAAGGTCTGTGTAAAAGCGTCTGTGTGTAAAAGTGTTTGCGATGCAAACTATTGTCTTGCACTTCTCACTATTTTGTCTTGATACTCCTCTTCTCGACTGCCTATAACACAGCTTTCATATACCGTTTCTAAAATTGCATCTCCATACTAACAAGAGAAGACCCTGCTCCTCTACGCTCTCGGGCCATCCGTCGTCTAGTTTATCTGCTAAATTAATGATCCCACGATGTGTAGATCGTTTTTCCAAACTTTCCCCATAGGTGTTCCACGCCTCTGGGAGTCGTCGCTTCCAAGCACTGGGCGGTGCGGGGGCTTTAGAAAGGAGGTATCATGGCAATGGGAAAATCCATGGGAAAATCAGCGCCTTATGATGTTTTTGAATGGAAAAATGAATTGTATTTCCTGAAGATTTGGGCTTTTCGCTTGTTAAGTACAGAAGGGTAAACTGTGACACTCAGGGATTTGTCAGGTCGTCAGCGATTGGCCATCTTTCAAATCCAGAAATATATCTAAAATCTATCATAAAACCAAGTGATTGGAGTTATTCAATAACCAACTTAGCCACAATCATAAATTCAAATCTGCCATGCGCCAACATCAACATGTCTATTGACATCCCGAGGCGCGCCTCGAAGAGACCACGAGCATTCCAGGGATCCTCCAATTCGGCACAGTGCTCCAGGTCACCCGCCAGGCTCGGCTGAGCGAAGAGAACGGGTTGGAGTCGAGGAAAAGTCACAACTATTGTAGTATAACTATTATAACTATAATATTAATATAGATGCTATATCGACGTTACAGATGTTATATAGATGTTATAGATGTTACACAATATTATAGATGTATGATGTATAATAGTGATAGAATCCCCATTAATATAATGATATATCATTGTATATAATTGTATAATCATGATATTATATAGTAACTATATGGTATATATGTAATATCATTACAATCCCCATTACAATCCCCATTATTGAGACATAAGTGGCTGAATTCTATGGTTTACGGTAGATATAACGAACTAGTAATGGGGTTTGAAGACCAACTTAGAACTGGGGGGCACCATCCTGTACCAAGCCTTGGTCTACTTTCAGAATTGCCGAAACATGGCCAAAATTCGCCTGACAACAAAAATCTGTGAAGAATGATGTGAACAAAACCAGCACTTCTGAATAGTGCATACCCATACTCCATTGGCTATATGTATTCCAATCTGTGCCTAGTTCAATGTCACATGATCAACACACTCGTTCCCACTAGGGACAGCACTAAGGTCGGCTCAACACCGCTGTTACACCACAACTATTCTTCATCGAAGCCGCCTGTTTTAGCAAGGGTGAACTTCATGTTTGCTAGGTCCTCCCTTTGCCTCCAACAAAAGTGGCCCCAAACTCACCATCCATGATAGTCTGTTTATATATGTACAATTATGTAAGTAATATACGAATTAATGTGGGTATTTTACCATGTCATGTTTACCATCCCCCAGGAAAAACACAATTTTGTGCTTGATGGTATGTTGCCCCCATTCCCAGGAAGTCATGGGTGGTTTTATGTCGACCATCCCAGCAAACCAGCAAACCTCCAAGTCGTCATAGATGTCTTCCTCATTCTCCCAGGCTTCCTGGGCGGCGATTTCGCGAGGGTAGACCACACAAAAAAGACCGAGCATTGCCCATTCCTACTGTGGTTGCGAAACCCTGCACCAGTTGGCAACCGTTAGGTAACTATGAAACACGGTAAATAATGGGACTATAAGGGGATAAACCATATACCAAATGGTGCAGGATTTCTTCCATCCACAGTAAGTCATTCAAATACACAACTTCACGTTTGCCCTTGCTAAGTTTCTTTCTCCTCACTAAAATGCGCAAACCAAATAGTTAGCACCCTTCACCACCCTTCACCAGTCAGTTTACCCATGGTTTCTCCGATGTGAGGGTTAAGTCCTCAAAACCAGGACTGCTACCCACTTATTAAAGTCGGATGTTGAATTGAAAGCAGTGGCGGTGCAGCTTTCGTTAGCAATCCCAAAGAGGTGGAGTTGACACGTGTCGCATGTTGCTGATGAATTCAATGATCAGCCCCTCATTGATCAGGTGGGAGGGTTCCCAATGCAAGGCTCCTAGGCAGTGAATGTCGCAAAGAGTGGCCAAGCGGACAGAAATAGGTTGTGCGGAAGACATTTAAATCGAATCTAATTCTGCAGGAATTGCCCAAGTGCAATTGCCAAACTGCCTCCCCTCCGTCCTGCCATTCTAAACCCGAAGTTTTCTCGCAGAGCCGAGTGTCTGCAGGCGTGCGTTTGTGCTTGTGGACTTTGGCGGAAGCTGGCCTGTCGTCATGATCCACGAAAAATCCCTGTCGCCCATAGAACTTTGTGCATGTTTTGGAGGTACCCTTTTTTTGAGCCATCGAGTTTTCATTGGGATGAATTCACATGGGGTATCAAAGAACAATTCTGGCACTAAAGTGTCAGTATACCAGGGCGGCTTGAGATAGGTGATGGTTTTTGCTTTCCTACAGGGTGATGCACATGAGCTGGCAAGTTCAAACGGCAAATTCGGTTGGGCCATGCCATTTTTCTGGGAAATTCAGCCATTTCTCACCCGTCGGATGTGCATAACACCAATAAATGGCTTATCAGCCCTCTAAATATCATATCTCATGACACATGTATATATATATAACCCATCAACCCCCACTACCTTCTTTTGGTGGGGTGGGGATATTCGATATACAACTAAGCAGTCTTCACAATCCGCAACGTCGTCCCTTTATACTGAATGGTTGAGAACGGATTGTGATATTCCCCAATTAATACAATACCCTATAATTAACCATCAGCCGGGGTTTTGAACATCTTGCAGTATGACCCGGTCCAGTACCCGGTATGTCCCAATACCGGGTTCCGGTATCCCTAGAAATCCATATAAGCCCCTATTGTTCTTGGTAAAACCACCGAGCTCGCCTCAAACGTCGAGAGGCCTGCGCATGTCCCAGGTTCATGTCATCGCGGCTGACCAGCGATACGTACAGATGAATACATACACATATGGAGGTTTCCTGGAATGGGGGTACCCCAAAAATTGATGGTTTATAATAGAAAATCCCACTAAAATGGATAATTTGGGGATACCACTTATTTTAGGAAGCCTCCATATGTGTTATATACTGTATGTATATATACATAGAAATTATATACGCATGTGTAAGACAGTACGAGACCATTATAAAACCAGTATGAACAACTAATCTTACAAGAAGAATCGTTTTTATTCTTGACATAATATATATATGTATATATATATATATTTGTACATGGGATAGTTCATAATCATGGCTATAAACTAGTATGACACCAGGTTTTGTGATGCACACCTAGGCCCTTTTTATGTCAAAAATGATTGGATGCCAAGGCACAGCCCTTTTCAACCACATGGCACGTCATCCCAACCATCTTCATTCAGATTAGGTAATTCAGAGTATAATTCAAAGTAAAGATCATAGTAGAATACTATCTACTGTCTATCCATCCATCTATCTATCTATCTATCCATCCATCCATCTATCTATCTATCTATCCATCTATCTACATATCATAAAAATCATTCTGTAAATGCCCCAAGGATAAATCCCAAAACAGCAGCTTTTCGCTGTTCGATTGGCGTCCTGCGAATAGACAGGCGGTGCCAAACTGCCCCAGGCCTGGAGATAGAATGGGGGGGTGCTTGGATTTAATGGGATGAATCATGATTTTTCTAATGGTTCAGTGTGGGTGCCCCGCGGGGCCGCTAAGTGATTTCTGCCGCTTGCCCCGCTTGCCCCGCTTGCCCCGCTTGCTCCGCTTCTAGGGAAAATAAGTGGATCTTCCTCCTTGCCCCGCTTGCCCCGCTTGCCCCGCTTGCCCTACTTGCAAACCGAGGGAAGATCGGTGGTTCTTCCCGCTTGCCCCGCTTGCTCTGCTTGCTTTGGTTTCACCACACAGCAGTATGAAAAAGGAATAGAGGTGGTAACGTGAATGGAATGTTTGGGCGTGTGGGGCGAGTGGGGCGAGTGGGGCGAGTGGGGCGAGTGTGGCGAGTGGGACGAGTGGGGCGAGGGGGGCGAGTGGGGCGAGTGGGGCGAGTGGGGCGAGTGGAGCGGCCGACGGGGATTCTAGTGGCGACTCCAAACACCGTTGCAACAATACCAGATTGGATTCTGCAAGTTCCCTTTGTAGAAGACGTGTGCAAGATCTCCTTGACAGGTTCTTTCTAGACGCTGCTGTGCAAGATCCTTTTGTACAAGGTCTGCATGAGACCAAACAAAGATCGACTATGTTTAAACATGTCCTAGAAAAATTGCGTTGAACATTACATGACACCAATGTGACATTAAGATATTAAGCATCAAGCATCACCGGAAGCAACCTCCAGCCATTCCGGGAATGCGCACCGACGCGCAGTGCACGTGCCCCGCGGGACCACAGACCTGATGGTCACAGTGAGGAGTGGACTATTGTGCCATCTCTATTTGATTGCGTACCAACATCACGCATGCTGGCATCAGCGTCTGCTGAATCCCTAAGGTAGAAGCCATTGTCCTGGTGCCACTTAGCATCGGCACCTGCAGACGCAGGAGTCAGCGACATGGTCTGGACAGGACTCCCGTGAGTCTTCTTTCCCCCATGGAGCAGACAGATTATGTCGCAGTCGGAAAGGATGGTAGAAAACAGAAATGGTAGAAAACAGAATAAACAGGTGCAAGTTTCAATTCTTTCTTGGACTTGATCAGGAACAAATAAAACATGTGTCTTGCTTCAACATCTCGAGCGGCTATGTTCAGCGAACAATGGCTTCACATGCGCCGCACAAACTATTTTGGAGCCGCGGTGTTGGCTGTCTGCTTTGCCTCAAAAAGAGTAGATTGGGCCTTTGTCAATCTCATGCCACCAGCGCACACGATTGAACACTAGAAGGCCAAGCACACTGTTTTGAATGTGGCTTTGGACACGATGATGAACCACTATGTAAGATCTTCACACCACAATGTCTTGTCATGAAAATGGGTGGGTTGATTGAAATTGACGCACAATATGTTGCAGCCGCCATACCGTCTTGATTGAAAGCATTCACCTCGTAGGGTCAAGAACACGCTCGGGCTGGAAAGAAGCCAGAGCTTAATTTCGAGGAATCGCACCATTATTGACGCGTATCTTTGGAAACAAGACTTATATACAACAAGTGCTTTGGAGCACATTGTCACTCTTTTTTTGGGCTGACAGTTTTGACATGTGACCGTGCAAGACCTCGTATTTCTGGAATCCTACTTGAAATCATTGGCGCTCAGTTGCAGCTTGGCAATCATGCCTTGAGCTTCCGAATTAGTCAAAAGGTCTTCCCAGGCACATGTCTGGTAGTACAGGACAGCGTGGCCACCTGGCGGGCCTCGTGGCTCGCTCTTTAGCGTGGCCTCCTTGCTCTTGGCGCTTTTCTTGTCCTTAAGTTTGGGCGCCTGTTCTTCCACTTCCTTCTTATCTTCTTGTCAACCTCTTGCAAGATGCCAACTTTCAAGAGGTCTTTGACTGCTGCCAAGACGTACTTTGCTGGTTTTTCCTCTTTCTCCTTCTGAAAGTGGTACTTCAGAACAGAGCGAATGTGCGCAGTGGAGGTTGGACCAGCACATCGAGGATTGGACAGAATGATTCGCTGCAATTTCATCTTGGCATCCAAATCTGCAAGTCCTGGGGTCTTGACATCTGGCACGGCTTTGGGGCCTATCAAGGCTTGGACTTGCTTGGGGCGATAGAAGGCAAACCACAAGCACATTTGGCGACGCCAGATATGCAAGGCATGTCACAAATCGAAGACGGTCATCTCAACGGCAAACTCATCTATGATCCTATCAAGGGCCAACGCGCAGCGGGCCTCAGAATACTGCCTGCAACGCATGGCTGCATTAGCGTACCGAGCCACATCTGTGTCAGCATAGCGTAGCTTCTGTTAGATTGGTTCTTCTACATTCTCGTGATTCTCGTGAAAGAAGTCGGAGATTCCGTGCAAAGCCTTCCTGAGCACGGGCAAGGCGAACTTGTCAAAATAGTGGTCTTTGTCCTGGTTGCCTGCCACGCGCCCCATCCAACCAAAGAAGTCAATCAGGAACTCTTTGCCGGACTGGCTCTGCTGATCAGGGTCACTTGTCACTGGCCTTGTTTGCCACGTCGCATGGATCCTCTTGGAAAACATGCTTGCAGTCGGCTGGAGCACATACTCACAAAGCGACACCTGTCCATACACTTGGGTGTAATGAGTCAGCGCCGTGGTACCATCTCCAGTGACTGTCTTGTCATCTTCGCAGTTCAGCCAAGTGCACATCTTTTCTTTGTTGCCGTAATGCAGACCTGAGTGTCGGGTCTCCTTCCCGGATGTCACGGCATATTGTTGTGGCAATCTCATCCGAAATGATGCCAGCTCGGGCATATTCTTTGATAGAAGCACGAATACCCTTGATGGTGGCATCCGTGCATGTGGCGCCACCTGCCTTGATGACAGCAGGGACATCTGCATGGGAAAGAAGCTTTTTGCTGGTAAAATCCTTCAAAGAACTCTTGCGCATGCTGGGGTCACCTGCGCAAACAATCTAGACTCTAGACTACGCAGCCACATCGGTGCTCCTCATCAGGCTGCAATCGAAGCCGCGTGCCTGCATGGATGCTCCATCCAACCAATGTTGCTGAGGATCGGCGCCATGAATGTCTCAGGCTCCCAGCCTTCCTTGCGGGCAATGGTCCTCAAGCTGACTTCGAAAGGCACGGGCAGCACTTCTCGAGTTCTGAAGGCGAAGTCTGATGCCACAGCGTGGTGGTCCCTGGGGTCTTTCAAGGCTGCATTCAGAACGGTTTGATAAGAAGCCTCTGGGCTTCCAAGCCCTTGATATGTGCTCTTGGTGTGAAGCAACGAAAGGCTTTGTGCTTCATCCCCGCAAGCCAAGTACTCCGACATGGCGTCGTGCATTGGGTCCTTCACAGTGGTAGATGCCTTGCTGGTCCGACCCAGGTCGTAGATGTCAATCCCAAAGCTTGGAATGGACAAGCGGGCTGCTTCACTTCCACCCTGTGTGAAGGGAGGGCTTTCTGGGCTTGGGGACCTTTGGGTGGGCGGCACTGGGCTGCGTTGTCCTGCTGGCGGGCTTGCGTTGGTTGCTAACTTCTTGCCCGCTGGGCCCCCACCCGCACGGACAGGCGAAGCTGCCTCTTCTCTGGTCTTTCTTTTTACCCCCTCAGCCACAGCCTCTGCTTCCATTGCTGCCTCAATCTCCATCTCTTGCAAAGTGGCATCATCAGCCTCTTCCTGGGAATCTTCATTCTGAAGGCAGAATGGGCAGTCATGCATAGGGCAGCCTGCTTTAATCGGTATTGCTGCAAGCAATCCACGTGGCACACGTGCGAGCAAGAGTCTCGGCTCTGGGAGCACAAGTGTTTTTCCGCATCGTCTGCGAAACCATCTCCACAAACTTCACACGTGGCCATGTCTAGGAAGCTAACTCCTACAACTTGAACTTGATGGCGCGGCTTAGGTACTGGAGAGCACTTGTCAATGCGTGGTATCATGGTCATATTTGTCGTATTTGCCTTTGCAGTCCCAAGCGTGATATCGACTCCATGCAACCAAACTGGCTCTCATGCTGCGCTGCGTGGGCAGCCGGAACAATGTGAAAATGTTCACATGCCCTCCACATCTCTCAGTTTCAACACTTCTGTAGCGCGCAGCGAATTTTTTAAACCTCGCGACATTATCAAAAACTGCTTGGCCTAGTGTACAAAAAGACTGCTTTCTGGCAGTTTCTTGCGATTGAGAGCACAATATCGTCCATGCCATTGAGACCCACAGGTCGCAGTGGACGAAGCCAGGGCGGCGCTAATCAGGTACGGATAATTTGCGGTCTGCGGCCTGCAGCGTCTGCAAACAAGATTCTTGCCACGCTTGAACCCGAGCCTCAGTCCAATGAAATCTGGGTTTTGAAAACAGCTCCCAAGCCCATAGCGGAATGTCTGGCGGCAATTTTCAGGCGGGCGTTCTTGATCAACTTGACTGTACAGGTGCCAGTAGACAAGCAAGAGACGAACATTTTGCTCATCCAGTGCCCGCGGCAATGCAAGGTCAACTTCAACACCCGCAATGGGGCTCTAATGCACCTGAACGCCAGCGTCTACATACGTCTGGTGGAGCATGCTGCGGGGAGATGACATCCTCCTCGTCAGAGGAAACTATAACGAGCCCATCATCTCCGTGTAAATCAGGCTTGTAGAGCAAGCGAATCCGCTGCACATCTGCCCGGCCGCTGCCATCTCCAGACCGCCTTGGAGGGTCAAATTCCAGAGCATCCAGCTGCAACCAGGTGTCAGCACATTCAAAGCATACATTCTCTGTGAAGCCAAAGGCTGCAGCTAAGGTCACACCCTCCTGCCAAGGGAGCCACGGAGCCATGGATCGCACACCACAATAAAAATTGCCCAGCCAAATTCCATACCCAGCATCACCGGGGGAAGGCATCTTGCGGCATCATCAGCCTCTTCCTGGGAATCTTCATTCTGAAGGCAGAATGGGCAGTCATGCATAGGGCTGCCTGCTTTAATCGGTATTGCTGCAAGCAATCCACGTGGCACACGTGCGAGCAAGAGTCTCGGCTCTGGGAGCACAAGTGTTTTTCCGCATCGTCTGCGAAACCATCTCCACAAACTTCACACGTGGCCATGTCTAGGAAGCTAACTCCTACAACTTGAACTTGATGGCGCGGCTTGGGTACCGGAGAGCACTTGTCAATGCGTGGTATCATGGTCATATTTGTCGTATTTGCCTTTGCAGTCCCAAGCGTGATATCGACTCCATGCAACCAAACTGGCTCTCATGCTGCGCTGCGTGGACAGCCGGAACAATGTGAAAATGTTCACATGCCCTCCACATCTCTCAGTTTCAACACTTCTGTAGCGCGCAGCGAATTTTTTTAACCTCGCGACATTATCAAAAACTGCTTGGCCTAGTGTACAAAAGGACTGCTTTCTGGAAGTTTCTTGCGATTGAGAGCACAATATCGTCCATGCCATTGAGACCCACAGGTCGCAGTGGACGAAGCCAGGGCGGCGCTAATCAGGTACGGATAATTTGCGGTCTGCGGCCTGCAGCGTCTGCAAACAAGATTCTTGCAACGCTTGAACCCGAGCCTCAGTCCAATGAAATCTTGGTTTTGAAAACAGCTCCCAAGCCCATAGCGGAATGTCTGGCGGCAATTTTCAGGCGGGCGTTCTTGATCAACTTGACTGTACAGGTGCCAGTAGACAAGCAAGAGACGAACATTTTGCTCATCCAGCGCCCGCGGCAATGCAAGGTCAACTTCAACACCCGCAATGGGGCTCTAATGCACCTGAACGCCAGCGTCTACATACGTCTGGTGGAGCATGCTGCGGGGAGATGACATCCTCCTCGTCAGAGGAAACTATAACGAGCCCATCATCTCCGTGTAAATCAGGCTTGTAGAGCAAGCGAATCCGCGGCACATCTGCCCGGCCGCTGCCATCTCCAGACCGCCTTGGAGGGTCAAATTCCAGAGCATCCAGCTGCAACCAGGTGTCAGCACATTCAAAGCATACATTCTCTGTGAAGCCAAAGGCTGCAGCTAAGGTCACACCCTCCTGCCAAGGGAGCCACGGAGCCATGGATCGCACACCACAATAAAAATTGCCCAGCCAAATTCCATACCCAGCATCACCGGGGGAAGGCATCTTGCGGCGTCAGCAGAAAGGGCGCTGCGTTGCCATTAATTAACATAGGGCTAGAGGCTTTAAAAGGGTGACTCTGATGCTGCTTGTGTGTGTGTGATTGTGTTGCATTAATAGATTGAATGACTCAATGATATACTGTCCTGACATTGCCCGGCTCCGAGAACACAGGTAGACAGAACTAATTCAGTCGACCCGAGTTTTCAACCAAAACAAAGGCAACAGAGGCACATATAGGCGAATAGCTGGCAACAGTCAGATCATGCAGTGCAGCAGTGGACATCCGGTATGGGGAACCGACGAGCAGATCATAGCAGATCAATATTTCTCTGCCGTGCTTCACAAACTTGTCCGATCTGTCCAAATCTGTCCAAGCAAGAACAAAGCAAGAAAGAAGCGATTTCTTATCACCTGTGCTGCAGCAATACGGTGCTGAATTACGGATCTACAAATTTCTCAAAAATTGGATGGCAATTCTTGTCATCAGTTTGCTGCAGCATGCGCGCGCAGTCTTCAAAGAATTGGATTCATTGTGACAAAAGTGGGTCGCCGTCAGCCCACGGCACCGTGGATCCTGCTTGAAAACGCCTAATATTGTGGCGCAAAAATGCTAACCGCGCCAGAACTTGAAACCACCTTGAGGAGACGCATCTAGCCTCGTTTGGCAGCATCTGCTTTAAATTACAGCGCTCCACAGCCACTGTGCCAGTTTGAAGGGGCACTCCTGCATCTTGGACTGAGTGAGCCACTTGGCGCCATTTCCACAATCCTTGCAACCGGAGCGGTTGTAGCAATCGCGCATGCTCTGCCACTGTGGTAGTGATGGCCGACCGCTTTCCTTGCACTCGTGGCTTGGCCTTAGCCACCCGACAAATCCCTCTTCTGCGCCTGCTGTTTTTCCTACCAAGCACGTAGTTCCTTCACAGCCTTAGTGAAATCTATCAACTCTGCAAAGCCATGGTACCCCTATGCTGTCATCAAGCTCTGCGCCAACGGCTCGACATGCGCATCGCACCACACCCCGTGGTGGACTGGCCGCAAAGACTTTTCGCCACGTCTTGGCTTTGTTGACAAAAGGGTTGCTCCAGGAAAGTTCTCAAAGCCGCCGCACCAGTCGGATCTTGATCCAGTCGCGACACGGTTGCCTGTAGATCTTCAACCACCGACTTCAATAGAGGATGATGGACCTCTTCAAGCTCAAGAAAAAGACCCGGCTCAGAGAGCACAGGTGGAACATCTTCTGCCACCCTTGGTTTCAAGGACAACCGCTGCAGGATGTCTTTGTGATCAGCAATGAGGCATGGGGCATCTGGACTCACTGCACTTACCTTGCGCTGTAGCGCCAACTGGTCATGCAGTGGATCTCCGCATACGATGGTCGTGAAGATAAACTGCAAAAAAAAGACTCCAAATAGGGCAGTTGTGGTAACGGTACAGATGATGAATTTCTGTCGCCGGGAGATTAGTTCCTGACATCTCGCTGTTGACTTCAAGATGTCCCAATCACAAACAGAATCTGCAATCTACAGCTCAAGACATTATATACACCAGCACACTTTGCGTCGCTACTTACTGGCTTGGTTCGAACCACTGTACCAAATCTCTATATTTCCATACGGCCCACTGCCTAACCAAGTACGGGTAAATAACATACATCCTTGTGATTGTACTTTTGTATGCTCGAGATACCATCGACAGCCCGGCTCAGAGAGCACAGGTAAGCCAAGGGCCGCTAATCTTGACAGTGGCAAGTGGCACCACCAGATAGAGCCAATGTTTGCATGTTCAGTCACATTGGGAAACATGCATCTGGAAACACACAGACCCGCAAGAATGCCAGATAGGATGTCAGAATGTATGCCACATAGACTCCCAAAAAAAATGCCAGATAGAATGTCAGGCAATATGTCAGATGAAATCTCAGACAGAATGCCAGATAGAATATCAGATAGAATGCCAGGGAGAATATCAAAATAATCAGATACAATCTCAAAATATATGGCAGATGGAATGCCAGAAAGAATGCCCGATAGAATCTCAATATATATATATATATATATATGTGTGTGTGTGTGTCAACTAGAATGCCAGTTGACCGGGGCCACTCGAGGAAAGTAATTTTGACTATTATCGTTTATCAGGTGGGAGCTCCAATTTGCGCAAAATGGGGCCTGTCAGTGTATATCGCGTGCCCCGCTTGCCCCCTTGCCCCGCTTGCCCCGCTTGCCCCGCTTGCCCCGCTTGCCCCGCTTGCCCCCCTTGCCCCGCTTGCCCCGCTTGCCCCGCTTGCCCTGCTTGCCCCGCTTGCCCCGCTTGCCCCGCTTGCACTTGCTCTGCTTACCTCCGCAGCAAGTGCGTCGAGTGGGGGGAGTGGGGCGAGTCGGGCGAGTGGGGCGAGTCGGGCGAGTAGGGCGAGTGGGGCGAGTAGGGCGAGTGGGGCGAGTGGCCAAAGTCAATTAATTTTCCTACCAAGGCAAGTGGGGCGAGTGGGGCGAGTGGCGGATTTCAATTAATTTGCTAGCCCAGGGCAAGTAGGGCGAGTGGGGCGAGTGGGGCGAGTGGCGGATTTCAATTAGTGTTCCTCGTGGGCGCCCGCAATGCAATGGTTCATCATGATTTTCAACATGATTCATGGTCAATGGATACTAATGCTTAATCATGTTTAGTACTGAGACTATTTACTGACTTGAGGCTTATCCTATGGGTCGTAAGTGGTTTGTAAACTGGCGAAAAAAAGAGATATAAATGGGATGACCTACTGAAGGGGGACTTACCAACCAGGGTTAGCAAAACCAGTTACGATCTGTGGGATGATCCTCCAAGTAGACAGTTGACATATGGATAGTACACTAGCATATGGAGAAGACATTCATGTACATTAATAGAACCAATGGATAATAGGGAGACCGTCATGCATTGTGGTAATTATGGACAACAAACTGGAGAAGGCTGGACACAACTTGGATATTCTTTGGAGGTTCCCGCAAAAACAATATTGCCCATAGACTCGTCAAATGATGAATTTCCGGTTGGGAAGACAAAAATCACCGGCAAAGCCAGGAAAATCAGGGTATCAACTCAACAGAATTCGGGATATCACCAGAAAAATTAGGATATTTATCTATCAACATCAGACTTGGATGTGGTTTGTAACGCCATCAACTGAGACTTGTCATTGGGGATGGTCCTCCCGGCCAAAACGTGGATTTCAAGCATGGGGAATGAGGTCTCCACCATTGAGACGAATCTGAAACATATTCAATGGCACAAATACGTAGCCAAAGTTCTAGCCCAAGGAGTAGAAATTTGGAGAGCTTTAAACAACTTTGGGAAATTGACTGAATATCAAGACTGATCTAAGGTCATCAAGTTCATGATTATCAGTGATAAAGGCTATTATGAATATTAATGTGGTATTTATATATATGGATGATTATCATTGAGGCTGATTATCATGATTCTCCAAAAAATCCAAGACCTGATGTTTCCACCAATTCCCCAATATTGATCTGCTGGGACCTGCTCTCTTTCCTCCAAGGGCCAGCGCAAGCGCAAACCTGGTGGAGCTATCCGTCAGGTGATACACCGGCAACATGGACATGGAAATTTCCCCTGAAGAGGGATCTCTCTTTTGGCTGGTTTCCACTGTTTTTTAATCAAATACAACATCCTTGATTTAGATCTTCAAAGGGAAATATTTCCACCATCATAGTGATCGTAGTTTGGGACACAACATGCAGACATGCAGAAATCACCTTCAACGACAAGGGGTCTGGGAGGCCCTCTATTCATTTAAAAGGTTACATGCCACACATGTGCTGAACACACTCAGGATTTATTGGGCTAATTCTACACCTTGAGGTTGTGACCACTAATCCAATATGGCCATGGAAGCATATCCCATTGATGTCATGCCCAACATGGAGCTTTTCCATTGACACATGCCTTCAACAAAATTTCCAAAGATCTTGGGGAATTGGGATCAGAATTTCCATTGCCAGGAGGACTGAATCAACTATATCCATGTATCACCACTTTGAATGATGGTAATAAACCAGTTTTGCTGATTGTACATCCCCTACCTTGGTAGATACCCATTCCTCCTTCATATATTTCAGCCACAACACATATCCAATAAACCAGGGAGGTTAGTAACAAACTGGTTCATAATCACTCAACCAGCAGCCACATCAATTGGTTCCCTCTGCTTTGATGAATAAAACCTCTACACATGATATTGTGTTTTTTTCAAACCAAAACATTAATCAATCCATCACATAGCGATTCTACATTTACCCTCTGGTTATTTAACATAGCCATGGAAAGATCCACCCATTTTTAATAGGTAAACCATCTATTTCTATGGGCCATCTATACCATGGCTATGTTAGTCATAACCAGAGGGTAATCTTTCGAGTGATCAACAGTTGGCACCTCTAGAGCGAGGCCGATACCTGAGATGAGCTGTGGCAATGGCAATTTTCCACCCAATTTTTGGGCACAAAGATGGAGATATGGTGATTTACCCATGCATGGGAGAACTTGGAATTATTTCACCAGCAAATGAGATAAAGAGATGGATTTATCCTACCAGTTTGGGATTTTCTCACACTTTTGGATCTTTGAAGCAACCGATTTCATTGGGAAGTGCACCTTGGACAGAAACAGACATCTTTAAAGCTCCAAAAAATCGTTTGTTTCTTACGGTCTACTCAAGGTGCCCACAATTCCATCAAAACCCCATAGCTAAGCTTAGAAAACTCTCGAAAAAAGAGCTGCACATTGCACTTCTCCATGGCAACAGGATGAACCCATCGACAAAAAGGTCTCCCCAGATCGAAATCTTCGGCAAATGCGCCTGTCTGACTCAGAATAAGAGGCCTCAGAAGGGGGAACATGCACAAGGTTGGAAAGTATGACGAGTTTCAACAGCCACAACTTCCATCTTGGAACACTTGATTTGTTTCTTTTTGCATGATGGCAAGGAGGTAACAAAGTAGCAAAACCATCTTTGATCATTTTGAAGGCACCATCCTGGAGATTGACCATCTAACAATACATCTCACGTCGCGTGAAATCGAATCATCGATGATCGATGCCGACATTGCATGCATGACTAAGCTTAGATGCACGGTAAAAAAACGACTTTAGCTGATGCACATCCCCAGGTATCGGAGATTCACCTATGAAACTATCATTCGCCAATAGATTTGCACCCTCATTTTTGATTATCGCATCCTCATTTGAATCAAAGAGTGAAACCACCATTTTTGGTGAACTCCTTACCCAAGGTTGAGCACCGAACGGTGCTTGGCAGGCACTCGGAGATGGAACCTGGCAGATCCGTTGGGTTTCTCCAAAATGGCCATGGCATGGGTGGAAAAAGACATGCCATAGGCAAGTGACATCAAGTTACCTGAGATATTTGGTATGGTCATCAGTCCCACAATGGGAATCCTGAAGCAATGTGTGTATAATTCCCCAGTAAATTCATGACTACCCTGGAGAATTTCCAAAGTTACTGCCACAGATATGAGATCCTCGGGCACACAATGCCTGAACCCAAGCTTTGACTGACTGAGCTCGAACGTCGTGGACCTCAGCAAGAAAAACTCTGGGGATTCCTGCGGTTGTTCGGGGGGAGCGCGTCAGAGAACACCTTCCGCGAGGGAAGAGAAAGATGAGAAAGAGGCAAAAGCGGCAAGAGCAGGGCTGACAGAAGCAGAAAAACTGTCAAGCAAGAGTAGGGCTGTCAACGGCATGGAGCATGGAGCGCGGAGCTAATCTCTTTCAGAAAGCTCAACATTTTTGGACCCTGAAAATCCCATGGTCGGAAAGCGCCATAAATCGCGACATTGTCAATCGAGGGTACCCGCAAGACCGAAAATGGGACGAGGAGGATTGACCGGAAATCCCAAAGCTGAACATATCTGAACTAAATCCATTTTGATGGGACTATAACCCAGATGATCATGATAACTCTGGATATGGAGGCAAAAATCAGGCAGGAAAAAACAACAAAAAATCGGCATTTCTTCAACCTTCTGCACAGTCAAAGCTGCTGAGTGGTTACCTGAGATACCCACTGGCAAGCACAGCCATCCTGGAGGGGAATCCCATCATGTGCACAGCAAAAACCCTGGCATCACTGGAAAACAGCCAGAAAACAGCGAGACAAACCCGCAACAGAACATAATTTTGTCTCAAAGTAGAGGACCCCATTCATGGTTTAAACATGTTTAAAACATTAATGTCCCCATTAAAAGTGCCAATTCACTGGTCCCATTGTCAGAGCCAACCTGTGTTTCAGGTGCTCCTATTTACCATCTCACCATCTACAAGGAACTCTTCTCAGTACCCCTTGTTTAAGTCTCGTTGTTTATCATCGTTCTCTAGGTTAAAGCAACCATCTTCAGGCATGATTTTGTCCAAACCTGGGAGTGGGCCAAATAGGGCACCCGAGTGGCTTTTGGGATGGTGTCTTTCGTTATGCCAAACAGCATGTAGCTTCTGGGGACCACCATAAATTTACTATCTGGTTTACCATATGGATTTTATTTCTTCTCATCATATCACTATTTAGCTGGTTTAAACCTTAAACCACATATTGTTGGACAAACCACATATCGTTGGACAAACCAACAAGCTGATTGTTGCTGGTTAAATCCCTATTAATCTCCTTTCGGTCCCTCTGATTCCCAAAAATACCCGATTGTTTGGACAACTCCAAATATACCCGATGTTTCGGGGCTGCATCCTACCCCATTTTCACCCAGTTGAGACAAGCCCACATCATGTTGTTAGTTGTATCCCCATTGTTGGTGGCATTCGTGTTCAAGTAATTCGATACTTGCCCACATTCTCGGTGGAGTCAAATCCGTTCTTTAAGATGTTTTCATACCCAATTCTACCAATCGTTGGTGGTTGAGCCACCCCTCTGAAAAAATGATGGACTTCGTCAGTTGGGATGATTTTCCATTCCCAATATGATGGGAAAGGCATTCAAAATTGCATGGTTCCAAACCACCAGCAACCAGCCATTATTCATCCTAATTAACCATATTAAATCAATCATAGTTAACCATATTAGCCATATTATTCACCATGATTAACCATGTCTTTTCGATCTTTTTTATGACTTTGCAAACGAATGAGACTCAACTCATCCAACGGTGATCGCCTGGCAGATGATGGTCTGGCAGGTCGCGGTGGTCCTGGTGGTGGTGAAAATCCATGTGGTGCCATCATGGGATATAGTAATCAATGTCATACACCAGCCATTTGGGAATGGTTTATACCACCTATGAAAATTTATGGTATAAAATTGGGGATGGCTTATGATTGTTTTACCAACATGAGTAGGATATGAATGGGAGAATCTCTGGATTTCTCTATGGGAGAGTGGGATGCTCATGGATGATTATGGGAGAACTGTACAATTATAAACCATCTCCAAGGTTGAGGTTTATGAAATCGGCTATAGCCCTAGAAATGGGATGATGTTTCGTATGACCCCCAAATGGTTGGAATTGGCTTCTAAATTTTCTTGGTTGAACTATGCTTAAATTCCGTATGACATTGTTTTCAATGAAAATCATGAGGCTTAACCTCTTGGAATTTTCAGAATCTGGACGAAACAAGATGTGGCATTTCAGAACTTGTAAGGATTATGGTCTAGTCTACCACATTGCCATCAAACTTAGTAAAACAGCGAATCCCAAACCAGATTTCTCACGCAAGATGGGATGCTCCTCCGTACTCACCATTCACCCCGAGGTCATATTTTCTATCCAGAAAACCGCCGTGGTTTTTCTAAAGTCGACCAAATGAAATGGTACCATTTGGGCCCCAGGATTGGAAGTCAAGATCAAGCCGCTTCCTTCTGCTTCGATCACTGTACGGCCATCAAAAAAGGACAGCTTCCCAAACGTCACAGCCAAAGCTACAAGTTGTTGGTTGTATCCCATCAATATTCATCAACCATATCCAGTTGTATTACTAGTGTGGTTGGTCTCAGATACTCTCGAAGAACCGCAAATCATATCTGGTTGGTGGTTGAGCGACCCCTCTGAAAAATATGAAGTCAGTTGGGATGATGACATTCTCAATATATGGGAAAAACACGTTCCAAACCACCAACCAGTTACTAATAATTCACCGTTATTAACCAGTATTAACCATTAATAATCCCTATAGCCCTATAGCACCAACCAGATATTGTTGCTATCCAAGTGAACCGCCATCAATCTGTGGTATCTCGTTGAATAGATCTCCATGAAGCCCCAGCTGCTCCTCACCTGCCGAAACCAAAGTATTTAGTGGTCTTTAGAGAATATTAGTATTAGCGAGATATAAGTCTGAAACATAATCCGTACATAAAACACCATATAACTATATAACATCGTTGGATATTCTATAATATCTAAAATGATATCCAACCATATGAGAAAAACCAGCATATTTCTGGAACAGCTCCACCACTATTTCCGACTATTTCTTCATCACTCAAACCAGCAACTATTGGGCAGTGCTTTAAACCTGAAATGTCATCTCTTGATACTGGTTGGTTCAGAAGGGGATTACCAGTTCTTGGATTATGACAATCCTGGAGATATAAAGGGTAGTAAAACCCCGGAAGAAATCATCAACCAATCATCATTTATGAACTATAGCCCATGGTTTTGATGGTTAAAACCCATATGAAGCCTTGTCAAATCCCCCATTTGTCGATGAACATCATCAATCAGCAGGGGTTCATCAATTATATCCTCATATGATCCCATATCTATGATGCTTAAAACACCGCATACATGATGGCTAACAGGGGCTTTGAACCTTTCGAGCAATCTTCATCACATCTTCATCAACTATGGATAAAACTACTGGTTGGTTCACATGGCTTCATTCTGATGGTCTATGGTCTGTTATGGTTGATTCCAATATGTTTTTTTTACATTACCCATGGGTTAAGCAACATGGTCCTTGACTATGACCTCTCGAGGCGCTACGTGCATAACAGCCATAGCCCGAGCCCTGGCCGTCAGCTGGCGGTTGGGAGATGATTTCTCCACGACTTGGGATGAAAGCAGCTTAGCAATGGCAAAGAAGTTGAATAAAACTCTACTGAATGGGTTGCAGCTGCACACTTTGATGTTTATTTTCGAGATTTAGGGTTTTCCACATATGCCAATCAATGTTGAAGGGATCAACTACAGTAACCTCTAAGTCCAGCAAGAAAAAGGTACAGTTCTCCATATTCCAGAGGTGGTGAAGAGACAATTTGCAGGATACACCTGGAAGGTAAACACCATGTTTTCCCAAAAAATAATCTGCAAACCATTCCAATGACCATAGTGTCATTGTCAAGTGTCAACTTCACCAGCAATGAGGCTACGCGGGTAGCCGGGTAGCCGGGTACGTCCAGCCACATTCCTAGTGGATTTCCCAGAAACATGAGAAATCATCTTCAGCAAATTGAGAGTTCCACATTATACTCCCAACCAGCTTCCTTACGGTTCTCAGTTTGAAACCCGGATTCCCATTCAAATATCTGGCCACAAGCCGGGATTTAAGTGACACAGACTCAAAATGGATGTTGAAAATTCTCAAACATTAAGAGCCTTAGATTCCTTCCAAACGCTGAATTCGTAGCTGGTGATTAATCTATAATCTATCCCGAAAAAAATTGGCCAAAGACCAAAGTAGGCAGTGAACTACCCAACTCACCAACCCTTTTACCCAGAAACTTTTTTCCCAACTGTCCACACTTCAGCGTGAGAAATTCGCTGAATTCCCGGGTTCTGAGACCTTCGGACCGTCGGACCATCTGACGGAGCATCGTCACTTGGGTTTGCCCAGACATCGGATACAACCCAAAGTATCCCAAAATTGTGTTTTGAATGATGATGGTTAATGATGGTGAATAATGGTGAATAATGCATGATGATGATGATGATGATGATGATGATGATGATGAACCGTTGGAGTTGGGTGTAGGATGGTGTACCCCATTTTTGGACAAGACCACTTACAACTTCGACTTTACAACTCGGATAGAGCTTGTGTCACCATGCTCTTTGCATTTTCTGATTTCCGGAGCACGACAACAGGACCCTTTTAAAGGTCGGGGAAGCTAGGCGTAGACCGTGGTGGAAACGTACGGACTTGCCGCCAGATATTCCGCCACGGTGAGATTGGCTGGACCGCCATAATAATCCAAAAAGGTGATCTCCTGCAGGTCGATGGTATAGTACCTGAGTCGAACTACGCTGAATTTCATGAATCTTTTCAGGAAGGTAGAGATTAATCATGATTAATCCATATTCATATGGCGAGTTTAGGAACCAGTATGGGGGCACCACATTGTGGGAGATCAAATGGGAGCCATTGGGCTATGAAGATTGCACAAGATTACCAAGATACTCACAGAAGGCTGGTTATTTTTCTCGGTCTTTACTCAGGTATTGTAACATAGCCATTAAATTATTAAACACATTGAACCCCGTGATCCCACATGTTCAAGCAAGAACCCTTGCTGACTAGAAGAGAATCGGGAGTTCCGTGCTGCTTCCCTGCACCTGAGTGTGTCTGAAGAAGGTAGTGATTGTGGTCAAACGATGTATTTAGGCCAGGGATAATGTTCGATCAGCTGAGTTTTTGACTTCAGGAGCATGACAGGCACAGCCACAAGGCTATGCCTAGCTATTTGGATCCGTTGATCTACCCTCCATTTAGCTTAGGCTTTTGCCATTGCTAGGTTTGATGACACCGAAGGCTAATCCCTGGTGGATCATCCTGCGGATCGCTGGCGAATAACCTTGGTGACTAAGTCCCCGATGCGTGGCTCATCTCATTTATAGCAGTTTTTTTGAGCTGTACTAGCCACAAACACGATCTATGGGTTCGTTTCCTCAAGTTACCATGAAAAATCATCCATTCTCATCCATGATTCATCACCTCAAACACTACCATTGTCAATGATCAACCATTAGATTCACCAATCGCACCGCAGAGTTCTCCATCCCCATCCCTCCCGTCCATCCGGCGCACGTGCCCCCGGTGTGCGCGCCACCCTCTGCCAGCCACTTGGCCAAGGGATGCCGCGCCGCGAAGCGACGCTTCGCCTCCGGCAGTTCAGACGACGTCAGCGGCCGCAGGCGACCCTGCAGGGTGAGGCCTCACGCGGCACGGCAAAAAAGGCCGTTGAAGCCACAGAAATTGAGGTTTTCAACTGGGGAGTTACTATACGCTTTGATATATAAGTTGTGACATAGCGATGGAACATCAGCATTTTTGAGATAAACAATAGGTAGATCTTCGAAGTCAATGGGTGGCTTCCATGGATCGACGGGATGAACAACTTTGGATACCAATGGGATGGCCAATGGCAAAAACCTGATGCAGGTCTGAAAAAAATTGACATGCACCACAAGATCAAATCTTATTGATTTTTTGGATATGGGGATAGGATTCAGTTTGCGACTCTGTCCAGTAGGCAACACAAGTGTTCAAACACCATCTAGTTTCGGGGTATTCGATTCTTGGACAAACCAATATGAGCAAAAATGGGCCACTCGGAGTGGAAAAGACGATGAAACATGCTGATAGTGTATCGGGATACTTGGTGGCCCATCCCACGAATCCTAAGTAAGTGGATTAACCCTAGTTATTAGTGGATTAACCCTACTTATCCCATTGAAAAACCAAGGTTATAAGCCACTTAGGGTTCGTGGGTAGTTCGCCACCAAGTAGTAAAACCATTTTCAACAGCATCCTGCTTCAAACACAATTCATGTGAACTTGACCTCCAAACCCTCTGATTCTTTTTCACCCAAATCCATCACCCTAGCCTGTATTTTTGATGGTCGACCCCATCATTTTGTTGCTTAACCACCCATTTTTGCTGGTGAATGGTATATATATAATATAACACAAAAAAGTCAAAAAACTTGAAATTAAGGACTACATTATGTACGCTTTAGACCTGGATGTTCCCAAATCCTGTCTTTTTTAGGGGGGTTTGCCCCTAACAAAGTACTCACTACTGGTCCCCATCCGTTCCAAGCCGCGCGCGCACACAGGATCTTCCGTCTCGGAACAGCTGCCGCTGCCAGGGAAGGGAAGCCCCGCTTCGCTGAGCCCCAAAGCTACCCGGCTGTCAGCATGCACGTCCACGCTGGAGGGTCCGGGGTGGGCAAGTACAGCATGGGAAGACCTGCGACAAGTTCATGGGACTTTGGGAATCCAAAATCGACCCCCAACAGCCATGATATCAGATGGCCATGGCCAGGGTTTTGTGGTACGACAACTTCCCCCACCTGTACTGTTCTTCCCCAGACCATCTGCCAGAGATCGCACATTGCCCCAGGGTGCCATCAGACGCACTGAGTTGGTACCCAGGGCACACCAGCTGCTGTGATACATCAACCTGGCTTCACAGATCGACGCCACGAGTTGCGGGCTGTAAAACTGTTGAGCTATTCATCCCCCACCAAACCCAACTATTGTTGAGTTTGTCCATTGGATCGCCATTCATTAAATCGGAGGACTATTTCCAGAAAGTGACAGCTTGCAATCAACATGGTATCACTCGATGAAACAGCTCAGGGGTTTTATTTATGAGCAGTTGACATTATCTCATAATGCGTGCCTGTATATATATATATACCATGTATAGATACACATGTGCAAACATCTTGAAAACGTGTTTTTCCCTAAACAGAAAAAAAACCCACCTCCCAACCCCCTTTCACCCAGTCACCACCGCGCCCTTTCGGCTACTTTGAAATACGGCGGTGGCTTCATTGCAATCGCGCCCTCCACCGCGGTTGCTCCGTCGGCGTAAGGCGTGGTGTGCTTCGGCGCAGCCGCGAGGAAGTCGGCGACGGCGATGAGTTCTCCGCCGCCGAAGAAGTCGATGAGCCAAATGTCGCGGAGGATCAACCTGGAGAACATGGAGAACAACATGGGGATATTCTGATTGCAATTATTACGACTATTATTACTATTGTGATCATTCCTATTATTATCGTTATTATCATTTTTATTGTTATATCATATTATTGTTGTTCTTACTAATATTATCATTTTATTATTATTATTGCATATAATACGTATATATATATGTATATATATATGTATACATATCATGTAATACTATATTATTCTTGTTCTTATTTACCATGTGGTAGGCTATTTTCAGACAAGCTGTTAACTTGTGCATCCGAATCGGATTCTGATTCCCAGGATTCCTCGCCCGGGATGTATCAAGTAGGAGATTTTCATAGCGGATGTTGGCATATCACGAGGATAACAAACATGTATAAACATATCAGAACTATATCAAGTTGCCAAATACCCGTTTTTTTTGTTGACCATCCATAAATCCCAGACATTTTGATGTGAAAACATTGGGCTTTTGAGGCGCGTTCAATCTGGGGATTCAGCAGATTGGAGTTGAATTCTTGAGATTTCGGATTGACTTGACAAATCAATGGGGCAAAACGTAGGGATTTATCCTTCTTTATCCCCACAAAGTTGTGGGATGTGTATCCCACTTGGTCATATTTGTGATAGCCCATGTTGCCGCGTCTATTCCAGTCATTATTGCACCACGGTTGAAGAACTGGTGACAACATATATGGGTTTTCTATGGTTTTCTGGGAATCGACCATCGCCTGGAAATTGGGTACCGGTGTTTGCCAGCTCGATTGGAACACCCTGGAAACTAGGCATTTTCATGGGAAAAGCATGGAACTATCGATGGGGGATTTTCCAGCCTTGGATTACCAGAGGTTACCAAAGATATGAGATGATTTTCTCCTCAAAATTACTTAGGTTTGTGAGCCCCAAAACAGAAATCCACGATCTGGGTATGGTTTATAAAATCTACGGTCCGGAAAACCACACATGAACTGGGTCACTATTGGCAACAAAGCATTGCATTTCATGATGCCCTCTGACTTGAAAATTGAAGAAGCCCACTAGCCAAATCACAACCCACTGCAGGAGCTGCAAACCAATCAAACCCACTTTTCAGTGTGTAGAACTCAAGACCTACTTTGAAATTCACAGGTCTCTTTGCAAGTTCAGGCCTTAGTTCATCTTAGTTCATCATTTTGGAATGGGTTTTCAACTTTTCGGTATTTTCCTTACTAGCAAGCCTTTAAGCAGGGCTGAGGCACTCGTGAACCTCGAAGTGATGGCTGGAAGGCCAGTGCTGCATCTGCGGATGCCGCGCGAACAAGACGGCTTTGCCAATGGCGATGTCAGCGCCGCTACTCTTCGTAAGGTTTCCTGGGACAGAGATCTTTTGCAAAATGCGAGATGCAGAACTCCACAAAAGATCACCAGTTGTAATAGTGGTAATAGTCACAAAATAGTAATAGTCATAATAGTACTAATATCAAGAATCATGGTAACTATATATAACTATAATATACTATAATCATTGTACTAATATAATAGAACAAAATCACAATCATTATTAAAACTATTCTCATTATATTGCCAGCACTGTATATAACTAGAATCACTGGTGAATACATGTATATATATATATCAATAGAATATACATGAAATTCACCATAAAAAAAAGAATAGTATCTATATATCATCTATCATGATAATACCCTATATATCTCTTGTTGGTGGTTTCAACCCCTCTGAAAAATATTAGTCAGATTGGATCATCATCCCAACTATTGGGGAAAATAAAAAGTGTTCCAAACCACCAACCAGATATATAACTATTATAATATAACATACATGATATTACTATATAGAATTGTATCTATATATATCACCTATCACGATAATACCCTCTATATATATATAAAAATTGTATCTATATAAGGTACAATGCTGGCAATATTTCATGATTCCCCACGCTGAGCACTTCGGTCTTTGTGCAAATGGCGAAATGACGACGTCGGACGAGGTCGCCACGTTTTTAGCCGTTTCTTGATCCCAGATCGTGGGTATCACAATAGTATATTAGATATAATGGGTTTTTAATAGTGTAGTATATTATATCTATATAACTATGCATTATATCTGTTGAGAATAATGGGAGATAGCTACAATTATCATTGGTTGTTGTCCAAAGATGAGACTTGCACTGCCAAACTTATCGCAATTTTGGTGTCATTTCCTCCCTTGGTGCAGGAAGGACCACCCAGTTCTAAGTTGTTTTATGTTACCTCATCGAACTATATTCATATATCCAACAGTTAGAATAGTCAAAAAACGTTTTCCTATCATTAAATCACATATATAGAATCAAGTCTTCTTGTTGGTATTTAAATGTATGATTTCTTTATTTTTCGCCATCCCTTTATACTGGCTTGTATTGGACAGTGTAACCACATATAATCATCAATCAACCATCATTTATCCACGAGATCTTCATGCTTCTGGAGCCCCCCATCGATGGATAAAAACTTCGTAAATGAACCATAAATGAACCCTAGATCATCAATATGTGTATATATATATATAATATATCTCCTACATCATCAACCCCAGGGGTTAACATCTTTTCCTGTGGCGCCGAGCATCCACTTAGGGTCAGCTTGGCACAGCGGGGGTCTTCAGGATCCAGGCTGGGACTTTTGCCTGGGACATCGGGAATGGATGGGGAAAAACCATGGGAACTTCCAAGTCACATTCGATGGAGGTTTCAAGGGAAGCGAACTAAATAGTGGATTGTCGATTGCTATGTTTGCCAGATATATGGAGAATATATGGAGATTTAGGCAACCACGATGCTTTGAAGATGGCTATTCATATCTATTCATTCCAGAAATTATGGGAATTCAACCATCTAACATGGGGATATTTCATGGAATATAGGGAGAATGCATGGTGAATACATGCATTGCGGAAATCAACTGTGTCACCAAAGTTATGGGGACTTTTGACACCAACATAGCCTTGATTGATGGATGTTCATCCTTTTAAATATGGTATGATAGGTTTCGAGCCCCCAAATTTGAGGAGACTAGATGAAAATGGTGATTCACCTCAAATTTAGGGGCTACTTTATCAGACACACCCATATAATATGGAGTATGATTAGTGGATATTCACGGGATATGATTAGTGGGATACGATGAATGGCTATAGTCATGGCGGATTTCATCAAAAAAAAGGTTTGTGAAACCATCCATCAGTTTGTTTGAAAAGTATGGGAAAACAATGGAAAACAGGCTAATCCGCTGGTTCATCGTCATTATTCCTATTGAAACGAAGGCAATGTTCGGGGTACACCCCATTTTCCTCCACCACCACATCCCTATCCTTAGTTGCATCTCCATGATATCCCATCATATCTCTATAAGATTGCTGATTTAACACCAATGGAACCTGCATATCATCCATTTTTTCCCGAATGCGTAGCAAGGGTTCCCGTTTCACTCTGGGGGTCTGGGGGTTGAGGGTGTGTTCGCTCGACGTTGCCGAACCGTCCGCAACCGTTCGCAACCGCAACCGTTCGCAACCGTCCGCAGTCCGCGGTAGGTCCATATGGCCGTGCCTATGGGAAGTTCTGCAGAGGTGGTCATTTTTGGAGTTTTCAGACGTGTCGTTGCTTCGTTTCGCGTGGCAGGCGTGGCACTTCGTGACATTCAGACGTGTTCTGCAACGTGGCGAAAGTCGTTTGGCGTGGCAGGCGCAATACTTTTGTGACGTTTTCAGAAGATATGTTGCAGTTTTCGTGGCAGGCGCAGCACTTTGGACGTGTCCATCGTCATTTTTCGTGGCAGGCGCAGCACTTTAGACGTGTCCTGTTGTGTGTTTTTTGTAAATCGCATTGGCAGGGCTGCGTCAAGTGGCGACAAGGTGCAAATTCCGTGGCAGGCGTGGCATTTTCTGACATGTGCTGAAAATTGACGGAAGCCTCGCACGAAACATCGATTTTGAGGTTGCCAATTTTCACGTTCTAAGGAAAACTCGTAGGAAAACGTCGATTTTGACGCTACAAAGTGTGAAAATTGGAGGAAGTCTCGCACGAAATGCTCGTTTTGGTGCTCCCACGTGTCTCGTCTCGAGTCTCTGGTTTCCCTGTGGCCTCGCCGTGTCTATGGGGGAAGCTGGAAAACATGTTCTTGCGGCATGTTTCAAACTATGAAAATTGGAGGAAGTCTCGTACGAAATGCTGATTTTTCTGCATCCACGTGTCTTGTCTCGAGTCTCTGGTTTTCCTGTGGCTTCGCCGTGTCTATGGGGGAAGCCGCAAAACCTCTCCTTTTCGAAGGTTTCCAAGCAGCTTGTCATGTCGTTTTGCGTGGCAGGCGTGGCACTTTGTGACATTCCAACGTGTTTGATAACGTGTCGAAAATGTCAAAATTGGAGGAAGTCTCGTACGAAATGCTCGTTTTTCTGCATCCACGTGTCTTGTCTCGAGTCTCTGTTTTCCTGTGGCTTCGCCGTGTCTATGGGGGAAGCCGCAAAACCTCTCCTTTTCGAAGGTTTCCAAGCAGCTTGTCATGTCGTTTTGCGTGGCAGGCGTGGCACTTTGCGACATTCCAACGTGTTTGATAACGTGTCGAAAATGTCAAAATTGGAGGAAGTCTCGTACGAAATGCTCGTTTTTCTGCATCCACGTGTCTCGTCTCGAGTCGTTGGATTTCCTGTGGCGTCGCCGTGTCTATGGGGAAAGCTCCGCACTCCTCACTCCACACTTTACACTCCACACTCCTCACTTTACACTCCACACTCCACACTCTACACTCCACACTCTACACTTTACACTCTACACTCCACACTTTTTACATTTTACACTCCACACTCTACACTCCACAAACTAGACTTTCCACTCCACACTCCACACTCTACACTTTACCCTCCACACTCCACACTCCACACTTTACACTTTGCACTCCACACTCCACACTTTACACTCCACACTCCTCACTTTACACTCCACATTCCACACTCCACACTCCGCACTCTACACTTTACACTTTATTAAACTCCTCACTCCTCCCTCCACACTCTACACTCCACATCCCCCACTCACACTCCACACTCTACACTTTCCACTCCCCACTCCACACTCCACACTCTACACGTTGCACTCCACACTCCACACTTTACACTCCACACTCCACACTTTACACTCCACACTCCACACTTTACACTCCACACTCAGCGCTCTACACTTTACACTTTAAACTCCTCACTCCTCACTCCTCACTCCACACTCTACACTCTACACTCCACACTCCTCACTTTACACTCCGCACTCCACACTCCACACGCCACACTCCACACTCTACACTTTACACTCCACACTCCACAGTTTGCACCCCACACTCCACACTCTACACTCCACACTCCTCACTTTACACTCCACACTCCACACTCTACACTTTACCCTCCACACTCCGCACTCCACACTCCACACTTTGCACTCCAGACTCTACACTTTACACTCCTCACTTTACACTCCACACTCCTCACTTTACACTCCACACTCCTCACTTTACACTCCACACTCCTCACTTTACACTCCACACTTCCCACTCCACACCCCTCACACTCCACACTCACTCCACACTCTCTACACTTTCCACTCCACACTCCACACTCTACACTTTACACTCCACACTCCGCACTTTACACTTTACACTCCTCACTCCACACTCGACACTCTACACTTTACACTCCACACTCTACACTTTACACTCTACACTTCACACTTTACATTTCACATTCTACATTCTACACTCCACACTCTACACTTTCCACTCCACACTCCGCACTCCGCACTCCACACTCCACACTTTACACTCCACACTCTACACTTTACACTTTACACTCCTCACTCCACACTTTACACTCCTCACTTTACACTCCACACTCCACACTTTGCACTTTACACTCCTCACTCCTCACTCCACACTCTACACGCTACACTCCACACTCCACACTCTACACTTTACACTCCACACTCTACACTTTACACTTCGCATTCTACACTTTACACACTCTACAGTCCCCACTCCACGCTTTACACTCCACACTCCACACTTTACACTCCACACTCCACACTTTACACTCCACACTGCAGACTGGTAACAGGGGAAATATGTACAAGACAGTTCAAATAAACTATTGCAGAAAAGTGTTGTGCGTGACTGCATATCCATGTGTTTTGACATCTGTACCATTAACATACGTGTGAGCATTCGGGTTCGTGGGCTTCATCTTGTTTTGTATACCCATATATTTTCCAAAACAAGACACCAGAGAAAAAACATCGGCCCTTCGATTCGTGATTGCGATGGGATCCTATCGCCGATGTGACGTGCACACTATGGTAATCACCTCTAAGTTGGATTTCGGGGGCCTACAAGTATGCTGACTATGCTTGTGTAACCAACTGAAATTCTCCTATTCCTGGGTCCTGCAGTGGACCAAACCTGGGAGTCATAACCAGTTGATATTATGGGGAGGCTCCCTTAAAATAGATATATTTCATGACATTTCCCTGCTACCCAAACTATGGGCTTTAACATCTTTAATCTATCCGGGGTTGATAAAAACGGGGACCAAACCACCCAGCGCCTTGCGTGGTGGCCAAGCAACGGTTGCATCTGCTGCTGTCGATTTCTGCCTCGCTGACGGTCAGGGCTGCAGGCATCCCTTCTGGAAACGCATCGCTGAAGCCGCCTAATCAGTGAGCCACAAACGCGGGGATTGAACCAAAGAATCATGGGGACTTGATTCAAAGAAAAATCAATGGGGATTTCATGATAAGCGACTGGATTTTCGCATTTTCACTCCAGCCTGGATGGCGTTTGACACGGAATCCAATGGCCGTACATGGCCTTTTCATGAAGCAGGTGATGGCAGTCGAAAATCCTTGAAACATCTACTTGCAAACTCTTGGGAACCAATTCGTAGAATATGAATCAGTTTTGGCCGATCATTCTATTCCTGCACATGCATGCACATGCACTAATTCCTTTGGATCTATCCCCTCACCAAAATGTTGGCTGTTTTCTCGCAACGAACCTGCCGGAAACACACATTTTGTGGCCATCTGAACGAATCTTCATCTTTGATTTGCTGATTCGGGCCTCTGAAAAACAAACATATTCCCTATATTCCCCAGTCCTGGTGGATTTCCCATTGGGAAGATCAAACATCACCTTAAACAAACCCAGACAAGGCACCCATGACGTAGAAAAAAATGCGTCCTGTGGAGTTTTCTGCCGCACCATCCGAAAAGGAGAAGGTATCTGTGAACGGCACCTGGCGCGGTTGGGTGGTTTCCCATCATGGTCAGATTGTCAGAGGGTCCATGGCTAAACCAAGAGCCACTCCACATATCGTAAGCTTACATGGTGGGCCCCCTTTTTTGATAGAGGGGTTGGTTTGTAACTAACTTGACTATCTAACTTAACTATGATTTATGGTAGACAATCTATAGATAATTCTGTTTATAACCAACGTTCACATCACTGACCTTGTTCCCTTCCAATTGTTCCGCATTTTCCGCCATTCTGCCTTGTTCGAAGAGCTCGTCAAATAGCCCCAGGAGGTTTCATGCAGCAACCACCGAGCATTCTCCGCAATCTCTTGCCTCGGATTTGGGGGGCAAGGAGGCAGGCCCCAGAATGGGGAGAGGTTTAGGGCCATGAAATAATGGAACACATGAGGCTACCACAATGCATTTTTATATTTTCTTTTCCAACATCTTTCGACAAAGACATGTTTGGCAGATGATTTCTTATCATTGAGGGGTCATATCTCCCTTTTGAAGTTTAATCCTCTGCGTTGAAGCACTTAAGTTTTAGCAACCATGGATGATTTGTAGGGCTAACAAAATAGATTATGGTCACCCCTATCTAACTAGGTAGCATAAACCCTGTAAGAATCTATGAATTGGTACTTGAAGTATGCGGTTTATCCGCCGACCCCCGGCTTTGGCAGTAGCCAGGGCGGCGCCCAGGTTACAAAGCTTTGCTTGTCCTATATAATGCTTGGCTGGCTGTGGCCGCGGCAGTCCATCCGTGTTCGGTGCCTGGAAGGCTGACAAAAGCGTCCATGCTTTCCCTAAACCCTGGTTAGCTCTCTGCATAAAGGAGCGGTCCATACATGTACAGCGCTAGCCCATGAAAACCCGGTCATCATTAGATATCCTCGGATAGTGAATTTCAGCAAATAGATTTATAGATCTCGGCAATCTTATGCTCCGCCGCTATAAATCTCCCAGCTCTATTGGAATAGACTGCAAGGGCTTCGAACGCGGACGGTTCCCCCAAACGCTTGCCAGCCCACGCGAACCCAAGCGCACGTTGCAATCCAAATTTGGCACAAGAAGCCCGAAGAAAAAACCAAATGAAGAAGCAAATGACCGCCAGCTGCTTGAATTTTTTAATTCTGGCAGACTCGGGACAGGCTGACATACTGCAACCGCCCCAACTGCTATAGGCATCCTCTAATACCCCTTGCAGCGGCACCAGCACACCAGCTCCAAAGCGTAACGCCACACCCTGCAGCAGGCTCCGCTCCAAAGCGCATGCTGCCACAGGCTATTTGCAGCAGCAACCAGCACCCAAGGTGCGCGTGTCCAAAGATATCTTGCAGCGGCACCCTGCAGCGGCACCAGTGCCCAGGCCCTAACCCGCACATTACCCCCCCGCAGCAGCAGTGGCACCCTGGCTCCAAAACGCTCCTGCAGTGGCACCGCCCCAATCTGCTGATCGAGCATCCTCCTGCTCATTGTGAGTCAATTTGCAATGCCGTTGCAAATGTATACAAGGCTTGACAGCAGTGAAATGGTTAAGGCCACCGCGGCTACCTACATATTACAACACCCGCGCGCATATACATGTATATCTATATACATGTATATCCTAAGCTGTGCCAAATGCTCGCGGGCCTTACCTTAATCCGTAATCCCGGAATCCGTCTCAGAAGCCCCAAAGAGTCGAATCCGTAATCCGAGACCTAATCCGTAATCCGGTTTAAAGCATAGATAGGACGGTTGCCTCCCTTTCCCTGTCCCTTTCCTTGTCCCCGGAACCCAGCAGAGCCGAGCAGCAGGCCAGCCACCAAAGCAACCAGCAGCCCAGGAAGCAGAGCAGCCAAGCAGAGAGCCCAGCAGCAGCCCAGCAGCAACCCAGCAGCAGCAAAACGCCACAGTGCTTATCTTTCTTCTCCGCCCCCGGGGGGGGCCACGATTAGCAATTGAGAGCCCGGCGCTGTACCGGAAGCACCGGGCCCCATAGTCTAGTGGTTATGACGTCGGCAGCATGCATCACAGCTGGGCAAACCAGCGAGATACAACGACGGTTGAAAGTTCGAATCTTCCCAGGTCCGTTCTGCAAGGCGGTGGTGCGACCAAAGTGTTGCGTTTCCAGCGGTGCTTGGCCAGAGCTTTGTGTTACCAATGTGCTTTGCTCTTTGCGCTTCCTTCCTCCGCTTTTTTGGTTCTGTAAGGGAAACTTCCGCCACCGCCTTGCGCGGTATACATGCTATACATGGATACGAGTGTGTGTAAGCTTCCATAAGTTCCATGCCCCTTACCAGCAATGCTGTTATAGCACAAAGGCTTCTGCCTGTATGACTGTTTGGAAATGACACATTTTTTTCGTCCGAAAGCTATGTTTCTGCTTAAAAGGGCTTTGCTCTCACAAGTCCACCGAGCAAACCCCTTTTAAGCACTTTCGGCCTGATTTCTGCTTAAAAGGGGTTTGCTCTGGGAAGTCCACCGCCAAACCCCTTTTAAGCTGAGGCCGAAAGGTAAATGCTGTTTGAAAGAAAGAAGGCCCCAAAACCTTTAATTTTAAATACTTAATGTGGAACCTGTGCCCCGGTCCGCGGGCTAATCCGTAAACCGCTAATCCGTAAACCGGGTAATCATTAAGGATTAACTTGGATCAGGCTAGATATCTGTATATATATATATATCTATATCTATATTTTGTTCATTGTTTTATTTTCATACGTTTATACATAGTATATGTTCAAAACTTGCCTAGGTCCAGGTTTGATGCCTCTGCGCCACAATGCTGAAAATCGTCATGCATGTGACCTTGTAAAATGATCTTCACATGGCAATAAAAATATGTTCCTTGACTAAAAGCGCTGGCAGGACCGGCGGCTGTGACTCCTGAGGAATTCTGACTCTATGGAGCTCCATTTCGGATGCTTTCCTTGGGGGTCTGATTTTAAAGAGCTCCTTTCCGATGATTTCTTGGCCCATTCTTTTTCCTTGGCATGCAGCTGTCACGCCCCGGGTCTCTGGCAGGATGCCGGCCTTCAGTGGGGAGTTCAGCGGGCCCAAATCTTTCTTTTCTGTGGTTCAGCTGTGACGCCGCGGGCCTGCGGCAGAATCCCTTGTCCGGCCTTCAGTTGCATGGTGTTTCGGTGTGGTGGGTCCAACGTTTTCGGCCTGGGGCCTTGCTGTTTTCGGACGGTGCCCCCGCCGAACCTCCCCCTTAAGGGTCGGCGGCACTAGGGCGTTACTTAGCCCTTTCTATTAAGACGCCCGTAAAATGTAGGATATCCCAGTGGTTTTATGGTTCTATGGACGTTACATCCCGCAAAACATCTATAAAACATCATAATTATAAACCATAATAACTTTATGTTTGTTGGATTTTGCTACCCTGCGACAAATGAACATAGAGCCTTAAAATTGTCAAACCTACTGGAAACTCATCTTTCAACCCCAGCTCATGGCAGGGTCTGTGTTAATTTGCTGGAGGGCAATCCAATTATCTAGCTGAATTGTAATAATTCACGAACCCGAAAATCACTTTTCTTTCATAGATCCATTTGGGGATGATTCCCTCCAATCCTAACCATCGAAAATCATTGCCCTTTTAAACATATCATTGCTACAGGATGGGGCCCCCAAGATAGCGTTCAGTTGAGATATAAGTGGCTTAACTAGGGTTTATGGTAGATATAACGAACTAGTTCATGGGGGTTATAAACCAACATTCAAATCACTGGGGGGCACCATCCTGTACTAAGCATCATCTTCCAGAAACATGTCTTCCAAGGCTCTTGCTTCTGGCTGCAGCGGTCACCAGGCTCCCCAAGACAGCGAAGGCTCGTGAAAAGGTCACCATTGCTGCGGCCGGTAGCTGTGAACATCAACTTCCAGCAGGTTTTTCTGGATGATACCATCTGGTAAACATACACAAAACTATGGAAAATCACCCATTTTCAATGGGTAAATGCATTATAAATGGCCATTTTCAATTGCCATGTTAAATTACCAGAGGCTACCAGTTTTGGCTGAATTCCCAACGTTTGTTTTTTGTGATCATCCAAAGATTTTTTGAATTATACTTGGAGGATTATCCCGCGGATCGTAACTGTTTATATACTGGTTGGTGGTATACCTTCCCCTCTGAAAAATGTGAAAGTCAGTTGGGATGATGAAATTCCCAGCTGAATGGAAAAAACATGTTCCAAACCGCCCATCAGTTACTAATAATTCACCATTAACCAGTATCAACCATGAATAATCCCTATAGCCATTAAAAATCATAGTTAGTTCACCCATGTTTCGGGCCCAGGAATCAGGCACGAATCCGATCGGAGTCGGATCCTGAAAAAAGTAGGCCATGTGACGTCGAAAAGGTGAGGTTCTTACAACCCAGAAATACTACCCTCTGG